ATTTTAAAATTAATTGTATATTAGAATAAAATCACTTTTTAAATATAAATATTAATATTTAATAAGATAAAATTTTAAATTTTAAATTGAATTTTAATTAGATAAAATGAGATATTTACTTTAAATTTGAAACTTTAATTTATTTTAAAAATTACAACTAATATATACATTTTTTATTATATTTATTTAATGTCATATATCATATAATTATACATTTATCATTTTAAATGATACAATTTTTTATTAAACTTTCAAAATTTAAAAATTATATTAGTTTTAACTAATTTAAAATCAGATCACAATAAATTACATAAAAAATTTTAATTCTTATTACTTAATTTATTAAATTTAAATTTAAGATTTTATATAAATAATATTTTCACCCAAATTTATGATTTTATTTAAATAAAAAAATTAAAATATCAAATAAATCAAAAATTCAGGTCAAATGTTAAATCCCTTGCCATGTAAGCATGACATGGCAATATTTTGCCATCGAAGCAGCCAAGCGAGGTGTGTGCTCAACGGCAGTTAAGTGGCGTAAGAAGAAGGGCTTAATTGCTTCGATCCCAGAGTTCAAGGGCTTAACTGCATCAATTAAAGTCTAGGGGCTTAATAGCGATTCTGGGGTTCATTCAGGGGCTTAACATATGGTTTTGCCTTTAGTTTATCGGAACTTTTGCTTTTTTTAGTATTATTTAGTAGTGATAAATTTAAATTTTTATTGAAGAAAAAATTAAAAATTTTTTTTTTGTATGGATCATCGGTATTCGAAAGTCTATTGAATCACTGATTAATCTGCATTCGAGTCGGGCAGAACCCAACAGGCGGCAAAGCTCTCTCCATGAATTTTAACATAACTGCATTATCAAGGTTTAAAACAAAAACCTCTGGTTAAACTAGAAGAGTCCCTTACCAACTCATTCACCTGCTCGTGGGTTTTAAAAGTTGCTTTTAGAGATAGGAAAAAATGAGTAAAAAAGAGTTTATGAAAAGTAAAAATTTGAAACTTTTGAATTTTATTGTTTAGGGTTTTTTTAAGGTTAAAAAAATTTAAAAATGTAAGTTTTCAAGAAAAAAATTTACACTTATAAAACATAAATAGTGTTAAGACGCTAAAACTCCAAGAAGCTAACTCAACATTCTCTAAGTAGTATGAATAGAAAAACAAGTATTAGAAGAGCTTTGTTGATAGGATTAGACCCGATTCGATTGATTAAAACCAACGTAATTACTGAATACCAAAAGATTTAAGTAACAAAAAAAAAAAAAAAAAGAGAAGTGATACATGCATTTGCTTGTTTTTCTCATCATCCAAACATGCCAGATTTGAATTCTTCGATTAGGTTTTCTAGACTTAGGTTCTGTGAAGGAACCTCTATATTCTTCCTTTGTAAAATTTTCGCAGCATTTGCTCCAATTTCAAGAATTTCGATTTGATCCTCATGTTGATTTTTTGGGTTTGCTATTTTTTTTTTCCCATCTGTGTATTTGATATTTTTGGCCAAATCTGGGTACCTGCTTTGTCCGAATCTGGGAATCTACCTTTTTATGCATACATTAGCCAAAATTTATTTAATAAAATGTTATTTAAGCACTAAGAATATGATAGCAAATGTTGATTGTGGACCTGAGAACAAATTTGAATTTTGTTCCATGTGAAGACGAATGGATAAGATGGTTATTGAAGAGGAAGAGAGTGAGGAAGAAGTCAAGGGCAAATAAGTCATTTGAGATATTTTCATTATCAATTAGTGTGTATTAATTTTGATTTAAAAAAAATTCAAATTTTAATTTATATTTAAAAATTAAAATTTTAACTCAAAATTTAAAATTTTAATTTGTAAATATTGATAGTTAAATTTGAAAATTAATTACATATTTTAGTATAATTAATTTTTAATATTAATATTAATATTTAAAAAGATAAATTTTAAAATTTTGAATTAAATTCTAATTCAATAAAATGATATAATTTAAAAATATAATTTTAATTTATTTTAAGAGTTAGAATTGATATGTACTTTTTTTCAAAAATTATTATAATAGTTATTCAAATTTAAATGGTAATTTTTAAATAAAGATTTATTTATATATAAATTTTATTTATTTATTTATGTTTAATTATTAAAATTTATTTATTTTTATTATATTTATAAATAATTATTTTTTATTGAAAAAATCAAAAGTTAAGTGTTAAATAGAATATGTAAAATTTTATTTATTTTGTTATATTTAAAAATAATTACTTTTTATGTTAAAAATTATAATAAATTTTAATTGTTAAAAATTTAAAATAAATAATTAAAATTTCATATAAATATAATATATAAAATTTTTATATAAATAAATCTCTACATCAATTTTTAATTTTACGTGTATTGTCATTTGTCATCAATTTTTACGGTACAACTTGGATTTTTCATATCATAAGTGTCATTTTTAAGTATAAAATAAAAAACGGACATACCAGCAGGTTATAAAGATATAAAAATAATATTTTTATATAATTTTTATATGAAAATAATATAAATCAGTTTTAATTTTTAAAAATAATTAAAATTTTAATTTATATTTAAAATTTTAAATTTTATTTTATTAAATATTAATATTTAATTTAAAATATATAATAATTTTTAAACCTAGATATTAATATTTAATAAGATAATTTTTAAAATTTTAAATTAGATTTTAATTAAATAAAATAATGAAGTTTAAGGTTAAAACTCTAATTTATTTTAGAAGTCAAAACTGATATGTATTTTTTTATATATTATTAAATATATATATTTAATATTATAATTTTTAAATAAATAAGAAATTTATTTATTTAAATAACATATAAAATTATACTAAAAATTATTTTAAAAATTATATCTAAATTATTTTTCTTAGTTAACATGCTACTCAAATGGTTGACGGTAGGATCAAAAGAGAGGCAGGAAAGCAAATTTTAAGGAGCACATGGAATTTTTCAAGTTTAGGGACAAAAATTAAGGGTTCCTATTAAACCTGAGGAACCCCAAAAATGAGGGTTTAATTTTTCTTATTCTACTTGGAACACTTTTTCAAGTTATATAGATTATATTCTTGCTTATTAACGCAATATATTTTCTTATAAATTTAAATAAAGATGTATTAGGAATTTGCAAACTCCTTAATTTACGTTAAACTTATTTAGTCAACTTATCATTAATATTATATAAAAATAATACCTATCAGCCTTACCTCCTAAAGATTATGAGGAAAATCATCTCAAAGCTACGTCATTTCAATAAATACCCATTGAAAAAGACTAAAATACCATATTTTTAAAGCATGTATTAAGGTATTTGTTATCTTTTTTTCTCCTAATTTTTTGGAGGTAAGGCGAACAAACATTAACTCATATTATATATATATATATGTTAGTATATCTTAGACTCTTATTCAATTAATAGTCTATATTACTAAAAATTATTATATAAAATCTTCTTTTAGTCTTTATTATGGTACTTAAATCAATTTTAATGGTGATTTAAAGAATCAATGGTGATTAAGTATTAAAAAGAATTAGAAACAATAGTATATAAGATTGAAGAAAATCACCGATGATTTAAGTAATTCAGTGATTATCTCCTTCCGTTAGAAGTAAGAGGTCTTAAGTTCGATTCTTATGGCATGTGGATAGGATAAGATAAGGGATGAAAAATGATTGTTTTTCATTGTACAACTAAGATTAAAAAAAAATTTTAAGACAATCAAAATGCTGTAACAATTAAAATGTTCTTAATGAACAATACATAAAAAAAAAAATTCATTAAAAGTATTTTAATAATTTCATATAAAATCATAATATTTAAAATGCCAATATATCTTAATTTTTATTTTTCTCAATATATATACTCAATATGAAAGTAATAGTTTTAAAGGCATGGTTACAAAATCTATAAAATTAGATGGGTAACCTTGTCATGCTTCAACCGAAAGTGGAGGCATAACAAACGCAGCCATACGTTTATGAGCGTCTTTCGAATTGTTATGAAGTGTTGTAGTTGTAGTTATAGTTGTAATCAATTATGCTGTGTTGTATCTAAAAATTATTTTAGTATTTGATTATTTATTTTTTAAAAATATTATAGATGAAATATAATAGATTTTATTAATTAT